CGCGTATTTGCTGCGTATCAGTACTATTTTAGTAATAATATTAGTATAGTATATATATATAGTTACTATGTGTTTATATTTATTATATATATGGGTCGGCAGCTTATTCGCCGGATAGTTTTCACGCGCCGCTCTGGCCCACTGACAGGGTAGCTCGATGTTATTGGTCAATTTCCTGTTTCGGTCGGTCACATCCAGATCTGCCTGGTTCGACTCTGCTCTGCCCGCTTTGGTTCGGCTCTGCCCGGTTAACGGACATGCGTTGTTGTTGATCGCCCGATATCCTTCCTTACTCTCCTCGCAAAATATATCTCGATATTATGTAATACAACTGTGGTTTTGCTACATTACATTTTGTAGGTAAGTGTGGTGACTGGAAGAAGCACTTTACGGTAGCACAGAGTGAGCGCATGGACGCCATGTACCAGCAAAGGTTTGGTGGTTCAGGACTCCAGCACCAGTTTGAGCTATAAGCTTAATCTGGTTCAGCGATAGTCTATTATATAACGTACAGTTATTCTCTTTTGATGTTCCCGTCGCGAATTTAATCGTGGAAGAAATCCATCACTGATACAGACTTCTGAACGGATTCTAGTAGAATTATCGATATACACGTGAAATTGCTGCATGTATACTATACTATAATTATGCCTGCTAGCATATGTTAGATAAATATAGATGCTTGCGCGAGCGTGTATATATAGCAAGGAGATTTTACGCTGATCTTAATTTCAATCGTTAAAACCATAGAAATAATATATTAGTTAGACTCGTCTCTCTATTCATGTCTATTGTTAAAACTTCAATTTACATCTTTAAAAATAAATCCCGTACAGAGTAGTACCAATAAGTCTACAGACAAGATAGCCACGACAGTGCAAGACCTTCACATGATAATCTGTGTCAACTAGGAGTATTATTATCAGATCTATCGCTTACTATCAATCGTAAGGATGTCCAACACGTTTGTAAGTACACGTGCTGACTTAAGATGACGCAGCTTTTATATTAACACGGTTGTTCAGTAAGTAAATAATAAATGAAATGACGTACGAAACCTTACGTGCAATGTCCTATCTATTTATTTTGTTAACGCGCGGGTGCTCTTACACAAACATATGACCGTAATCATTTTGGCAGGAACGTAACGCCCGCACGCAAACAAGCAACTGCATGTACGCATATGTTTGGCCGTCGTACTCAGAAATGATTATTGTTACGGCGGTAGAAATAATTTAAACGCGGTAAAAATAATTGGCCTTTTACCCAGGCAGAGGTCATGTTACACATATGATTAAACAGCATTAAATTATGGCCCTTTTCACCCAATCAGTGCCCTTGTTACACAATTTAACCGCGGTAGAAATAACATATTCACGGTTGACCTAATTATTTTCTTTTTGCCCGATCAGAGGCCTTAATTGTTACACATAATTTAACCGCAGTTGAATTATTTTTACTGCGGTTATATTATGTGTAACAAGACCTGTGATCGGGTTAACGGGCCATAATGTCACCGCCGTGAAAATAATTATTTCTGAATACGATATGGCCATATACTCAAACAACTTATTCCTAGTCACTCCTGGTTGCATGTAACCATGTAGTCGGACAAACACGAAAACAATGACGTAAGCATTTCCTTTAACTCGTACTTTATTTGCGTCCGCTCCACGTGCTGACACCACCTGCCTGTGTCTGTCTGTCTGCCTGTGTCTGTCTGCCTGCCTGTGTCTGTCTG